ATTTTCATTATTTTTTATTGGATTTTTGTGCAAACATCAATATTTTACTTACAAAAAGTTAATAATACAAAAATAATGACTTTACACGCCTGTAACTTTTCAAGTATTGACGATACAAAAAAAATATATATAACTTTTTTGTTGGACATCAAATAAGCTACAAAATTGCTATTTAACTTTTTCGTCTAACTTTAATAGTTTAGCTGAAAAAAGCAAAAAACGGAAAATTTTGATTTCAAAGCTCTGTAAAAAAATCAAATAATGAAAATGGAAATTCGGCTCAATGAAATTTTTTGGTCCAAATTTAGTGTACTGTAACATATAGCCATGGATTTTATAGAAAAAAAATTTCTTCCTGGGTTGCAAGAATAAATACGGTAAAAAAATCATTTTTCTGTGTTTTTTAAACGGTAAAATTTCAGATTCGATGATGGACCTCTTAAAATTGAAACTATGAGCTCCGCTTCTAACAGGATATTTGTTTAGACATATTTTACGATATTTTGAGCGGAGAGCAAGAAAAAAAAAATATCGAGTTTTTTTGGCACAGCCTAATCTACATAGCTCCTCGAATTTGGACTAGCGATTAAGTTTCCGGTTGATTGTAAAAATCGATCTAAGGTAGGTGTCAAACATTTTTTATAAAGCCGGTTTGTTCAGGGGTTTTCGCCATTGTAGAATACTTTGAATGGTAGAATAGGGACTACTACTAACTATAAAGGAGTAACTTAAAAAGAAAATAAAAACAATCAGACGGTCCACTCCCAGCAGTTCCCATGCAATCATATCACCGATCCATTCGCTCGTCAATAATTCAACCAATCATAAATTTGGAAATAATGCAGTCTTTCCATTTAAAAAACTACTAGAAATAATGAAAGGTCTTGAAGTAAGTGTAACCACTTTCAGTCCCATCATTTCCTATCTCAATCCGCCGGATGAGGCACGATTACTACTGCTGATCTGATTGAGTTTGTTACGTAATTCCTGATAGGAGATGACCATCTGTTTGTCCTGGATCCCGTTTCTGGGATCGAGAGGATTGGGAGATTGGGTTTTGTTAACATTTTGCAAGACCAGATGGAGTTTCTGTTCCAGTTCGCGGGCCCTGTCCACGTACTCTTGCTTGTTGGTTTTCGGTATTTTGCAAGCGGCCAACGTGAATTCTGATGGATGGGCGGCGACAGAATGGTTGTGGGAATTGTTGAGAAGACAGTACTGTATCATTGGAGGCAAAGGTATGCTATCATGAACGGCTGGAGTTGAGTAATCTCGTCCAATACGACCGAAATGTCTTGGGATTGGATCATTGGCGACGGCTGGGACTGCTGTAGACAAGAAACGGAACGCGCTATTGATCTCCATAATCAATAATCAACAGCAGAAAAATATTAAATCTATTGGAATCTGTCAAATAGGCATAAATCACCTCATGGCAAAACTTCGTAAAATAGTTTCTGAAAATCATAAAATCTTGTTTCGATCGAATAAAAAATTGGAAAAATCCTGTAATAGTAAGCAGTTCCAATAAAGATCTTCAACTGTTATGCGTTTCGCTTATTTGCTGATGAAAACCAACTGGCTTACAAAAATTATCTTTGGAGAATTACAGACGAAATGTAAACCAGAAAGCACAAGAAGTGAATTCCGAAATAAAAATTTGTTTGCGTCATCGATACAACATTGCCACTTATCATGAAGTGGTTGTGGTGAAGTTTGCAACGATTGGTTAATAAAAATTACTGTAAGTCGAATTTTCAGATTATGCCAGTTCCTAATTATGCCGACTCAAGTATTCGGTACCAAAAGCTTTGAGGGGTGGGGATGTCACCCCCCAAATCCCTGCCACCGTATGCCCTCGATTAGATCTGATCTTTGTTTGGGTTAATCGGGGATTTTCTAAATTTTATAATACGTNGGGGGGGGGGGGGGAGTAGGAGGTGGTTGTGGTGAATTTTGCAACGATTGGTTGTACTTCGGTACAGCGGAAATAGAGTTTTGTTTTGTAGTCATTTGCAATAAAAATTACTGTAAGTCGAATTTTCTGAATATGCCAGTTCCTAATTCCGAGTCAGGTATTTGGTACCAAAGCTTTGAGGGGTGAGGATGTCAGCCCCGACATCCCTGCCACCGTATGCCCTCGATTAGATCTGATCTTTGTTTGGGTTAATCGGGCATTTTCTAAATTTTATAATACGTTCGGAATTAAAAACCCGTTCGTTTTAGATAAAATTCCTCTTTAAAGTGGATCGTGTTAATACGAGAAGAACTAGGGAAAATTTTCTATCATTAACGCCATGTTTTTTAAGGTCCGCCCATTTGACTGATCCCAATAGGATCGGAATGATTATATTATATCGCTACCTTAGATTTTAAACAAATACAAAATAATATTGAAATGGTATTATGTTATGTTTGTTTAAAATTACGGATAGATTTCAATGATGTAAGCATCCATAATGAAAAGAACGCCTTTTACCTAAAAACCATAAAACATGCTAAAAACAGAAACAATAACACTTTAAAATCCAGGCAAAAGAAATACGTAGTTAAAAAACGTTATTATTGGTGTTAAGGAGTATAAAAAATGGTAAATTTTGTATATTTCACGAATTTCGAGAGACAAACGATCTCATTGATGATGAAAAATATGCTAACTGATAAGATTGACTATTAAAAAACACTAATTTATCACACAACAGGTGGACATTACGACCTCGCTAGGTTCCGTGAGGATGACAACTATAACTGATGGCGAAACGTCAGAAAGAGGATAACGCCAGCCGTGAATGCCTTAGCTTTTTGTAGAAGGTACTCGAATTACATTACAGATAAAAAATTTAATTTAAATTGAATTTCAGTTAAAAATCCTGGATAAGTATAAAATGAATGATTAAATGTAGTGACAAGCAAAAGAAACACAGGGGTTAGAATTGTTAGGGGTTAATATCACACTCACAATCGCCGACCGTGCAAGAGACTCCTTTGTAGTATCTGGAAGCCTTCAGGACATTTTGCTCTTGGTCTTCTACAATAACCGCGAGTCCCAAATTCCGTCCCTTGGACCAAGCCCTGATGGCGTGCATGATGTTCAGTTCGACCCATTTGTTGGATTCGCTCACGACCCTGCTGTCACACAGACGACGCTTGACTAAAAATTCAACCCTTATTATGTTGGAAGCGCCCTTATGCCACTTTATTATATGTGCGTGAAATGAAAAGTACAAATACCTCGGTGTTTTTTTAGGGATTTTGTGTACCAAAATACTGAAACTCGGAGAAGTCTTTCTTCGTCGGGGGTGGCGTTTTCGCAGCCGACGTCGTTTTGAGAAATTTTTGACGAATTATTTTCGGAAAAAGTACGATAAAGTTTTAACACAGCGGTGGCTATGCTGGCATTAGTTTCCCGGGTGGGATCGTTCGGGAAATACAGATTTATTACGTTTTCGTCATGCCATGCTTCCGTGTCGGTGTTTTTCGGTATTTCACCTAAAACCATTAAAAAGCTACGTTTCAATTCCTTTTGAAACGCTTAAAAAACTGATGGATTTAGCTATTATTTCTTTTATTATTTGTGACACCCTGTATTTTATTACTTGTGACACCCTGTAAGTAGGCAGAAAAAAAATATTTTCTTACATGAAGGATATGAGCTAGCGGCTTTCCCAAGGATATTTTCCATAGGAATCTTGGAAGAGTTCAGTAGTAATTTAAGGATTTCAGCCGTTCCTGGGGGCTTAGTGCCATTGACACGTCCAGTGTGCTGTTGTACCGTAGTTTTTATGTTATTAATGCGTTCGTTTTTGTCTCTGGAAGAGTAAAACTGTTGGTCACCTACATTCGAATTATTCGTACACAAGTACATACACAAACAAGCGTTTCATGCATTTCTTTTTATTTGCTAGTCTTTTTTAGCTTTAACTAGCTGCAAGGTGAAGTGCGCTTTCATGAAAACCTGGTGTAAAAGAGCAACCGATTTAATGAGTGTAATTTTTAATGTATGTCACATATGAACTTATTGTAGCAAGGTCTCAGATGGATGTACCCCTTTTTAGCAAAAACCACGCAGTTGATACTAATAAATTTGGTATCATTATACAGATAATTTCTTTATTGTTGAATCAGAAATAATTTGAATTAAAATGCTTAGTTACTTAATTATTTTTTTATTAATTTTCTGAGTAATTATTGATTTCTTCTATGTCGCCATCCACGATCAGTAGTGCCATATAGCAGGCAGGTAAGAAAATATTTTTCACTTTGTAAACTATTTCACAGGTTATTTCGGTTCTATTACCTTCTGTAGTTTATTTTAATACTTATACGTTATGTTTAAATGTTATGGGCGAATTCCACTTGTTGCTTCATAAATACGATATGTATAACGTAAACAAGTTTTTTCTTAATACACATTTCTGAAAAAGCGTTAAAATTAACGTCTAAGGTACTTTTACACCTCTCGACTGTTCAATGGCCTCTAATCGTATCATTTCCACAAATATTCGGGGAATTTTGGAATACCTCCAATATTTAAAAAGTTTTTTTGAACTTGGTTCGACACTCGAATAATTAGATGCGCAACTAATTACGCACTTGTGTATTGTTAGTGGCATATACAATAAGTAATGGTTTAAAAAAATTGAACGCTGATTCTGGTGATGTACAGAGTGATCCAAAAGTGCATGGCGCACGAAGCATTAGAAATATGCGATACAATTTTTTTTTTTTTGAAAACAATAGAGTAGTTGAAATACAGAACTTTTTTGAAAAATCGTTGTCCATAAAATGTTCCAATTAAATAAACAATTTCACAAAATAGGAAAGTTGAATGTTAAAAAGTAAATTGATGGTGTTTGTTGTTTGTAACCTTTTGCTCGGGTTCAACTAGTGCGATAGGTGTCCAGGTGTAGGCCGATCATTCTCAGATGGAAATTAATGATAAAAATGGAAACCTGAGACAGCAGGCCTTGAGAATAATTAAGTCTTTTCATAATAACTAGTGCTTGCTAGTCGTATGAAGTAGTTTTCTAAGGTCATTACTCCGTCCGACTAGTCTGTCTAGACTCTAGACGCTGGTTTTAAAAAGCATCTACCACACAAGTAATTTATTATAAATAAATGGTTAGAAAAGCTGTAATATGCTTGTCTAGCATTCGAATGCATTAACTTTATTACATGCACATACATTTTCGATCGCGCTATTTTCGGCGAACGTTAGTATCGCATCATGTACTGTACGTTACAATGTCGCGAAAATTGATTGTGACCTGACCTGTCCCTATCGAACCATCAATTGACTCAATTACGGAAATGGCGGGCCCGATTTTATTTAACACTTCGTAATTTTTACCAGTCGCCAGACGACCGTAACACATGATTTTTGGCATCAAAATTATGCAGACGCGTCAGGTCTCGACCTATATGCCAAAATATCAACCCGATAACTTAATTGACGAAACAAGTAATTAATGCAGAATGCTTTCCAGTATCTACTGGTGGAACTTTCGCCGAAAATTTATCGAATTGTAGCAATTGCAATGGCTAAACTTACACAGGGCGTGTTAAAACTGACAAATAAAATTATCGAAGAATTTCAATTTTTTACTTATTGAGGTTGGAAATGAACATTTGAAAAAAAGTTGGTGGGTCTAAATGTCTCTGTCCGGGCGTATAGTTGGTTGCATATGCGTATATTCTGATCGCATGACCGACGATGCAATGCAGGTAAAAAAATGGTCGAATATTGATTACACCCGATACCAGTTTTTTTTTAAATGTAATTATGTATTAACTGCAGGGTTATGTAATGCTCCTCTCCTTATGAAGGACCTTGGGTATAGGGTGGAAGCGTACATATATCCTTACAAAAACAAGAAGTAAATTTTATTTATTAAAAATATTATTTGGCGACCTAAATTAACGTTTTTTGTATTTTTTTCGTACTTAAACTTTTTACGTTTCTGATGTTCACTTGTTTTTCCTAAAAGTCGAGAAAATAAATCAAAGTTCTACCGTTAACAGACGGTGCATCTCGACGATGATATTAAAATTCCATCCGATTTCCAGATGTCTCCGATCGCCTATACGATTATGATTAATTATGACTAAAAGCGATCAGGTGCAGGCAGCAGTTTAATCTGGACAGGACCGAGTAGTTTATAAGTATTTGGCATTTGTAAATTGGCTATGAATAATAAAATATCAATCCGAGAACTTTGTTTTTTTAACGTCTGGCACAATATTAATGACGATGGTACATTAAATCGTTAATGAATTCATTCAACAAATTTTCGGGCGTAGTTTTTGTACACATGTCTATAGTGTATGTATAAAATANTTCTTCTAGTCACTCATTAAAGTCTCTCCTTAATCACTTCTTCAACAAATTTCAAAATTTGAGAGTTGCAAATGTAATCCATAATTTCAAGAAAGGGAAAACCAAAATCTTAAAACCTTATCTAATATTTCCAAACTCATTTGATTAGTTTGATAAATAATACCCCCCCCCCCTTCATGGAAGCAGCTCCAAGTCCCGAATTTTCAAAGTATAATTCGTTTTTCATATAACATACATTACACGCAGAGAAGATTGGTCTTTTATGTGACACCCTGTATACGGTCGGGCGTAGTTTTTGTACACATGTCTATAGTGTATGTATAAAATATTCATTTTTCAAAATCATAATTAAATCTACGTCATTTAAATTAGTCATTAGCTTTACCAACGAAATAATAAAGAATTCCGTCATCTGTAAAGTTATGAATAATTTTTTTAAATTCTTCTTCTTCGATGTGTCACAAATTTTTCAAGATGTGAACTACGTCAACGCAATCAGTGAATCAACAGATATACAAAAGGGCTATATAAAGTTCTACTTTTTATTTTGAGATAGGGAATCTTAAGAAGTAGCTGTTGTTAAAAATAAATAAAAATTAGTCAACTCTCACTAGATAAATTTACCATTTGATAACGCGGTTGTTTTGTTTGGTCATATTGTATTTAATTTTTCTTTATACTTGTACATTACGATGTTCGACTGTTGCGCAAGGCTCTAAGCATAACAAGCGCTGCCACTTTCGCAGTACTAACTCTGGCGTTTGTTTTACTTAAAAAGTTAAGATCTGAACAATTTTTATCTTTCAGAATTTTTTTCAATTGAAGCAATTTTAAATCAAAGACTAAAAGTTTTCTGACGCTGCACACCGGCTAATAATTCCATCCGCCACTGGGTGTTACCATAATTTGTTCTATGTACTGACCATACATACTACACGTACAAAATCTTTACATACAGGTTACGTATAGAGAGATAGATAGGTGTAAAAGTTGCTGTCTAGGAATGCAGGGTAAATAAAAACTGTAGACGTAAAGCCAGACGTTGCAGCGCTCGACCGATCGCTGAGTCGTGACGGTCACTAATAATGACCTCAAGTCAATTCGTCTGTTCTATTCCGATTGTATTTTGCTATTGTCGTCTATCGATAAAAGGAAGTAGGCCACCGGCTTGTTTTCGTTTCCCATTTGAACGGAAATTACATATAAACGATATCGCCGTCGAGGTGGCTTACTTTACATCCCCATGACTTGAAGAGAAACAGTAATTATTGTAAAGTAAAATTATTATTTTTTTGAGCAAGAATCAACATGTAGATATACGTTGGACACAGTGGTAGAGCGCTAAAAGTAAGAATCAAAGAACATAAATACAAGATTAGAAATAAACTTAATTCTATGGGTACCTATGAACATTGAGCCAAATTTAATGACAATTTAGAAACGAAAATGTCGAACTTTTACATTAAAATAATAATTCAGAAACATAAAATTTACAAATAAAATAATTCGAACAACAGATGGCGTTTACCGCGCCATTTGTGGTATTTTATAAAATTTACAAATATGACGCGGAAACAACAAAATCTTGCTTATCGACGTTTGAATTGTTACCAATAAGGCGACAGTGACATTTCAGCGATTATTTCAGAAGTTGTTGTTCTTAACGATTAAAAATGGTTTTGGGTCAATTATTCACTTTTTCCTTAGAGACCAGATGCGGCGTAGAAATAAAAAATTGAAGAGTTGACTCGTTTTTTCTTATGTTTAGTATAAGGTTGAGTAGCCTTAGCCACTTAACTATAACGGAAACGGTTCTCAATTAGTAATGGCACTTTTAGTAGACAACAAGGTTTTTATGTATCTAGGTATTATATATACACACCTGTCTCTACCTGTGTCTAATTTTATGTACTACGCATATACATAATAGCATCCGTTAATTGCTGAATTAAAATCGTTGCATCAGTTAATTACATGGCTGAGATGACCGACTATGCATTAAGTCATTGTATGAATGAATGAATGAATGGACTGATGGTTCAATGGTTTTCAGTATGTATTTCAATTCTTTATTAAACCTAAAGCACCTTATCAATGTGTTGTCTGCATTATTAATTGCTATTTCTTTCGCTTCCTTTTGGGTTCGGTATGGAGGCGGACGGTGCTGCAGACATGCAGAACTATGCTGAGTAGACCAAATGAATTCTCTATGTCTTTGGTCGATATTATTGAACTGGGCCGCATGAGGCAGTTCTGCGGACATCTTCGGAAACTTGCTACGATCACAATTATCCCATTTAATTTAGATGGGTCAGTAATCCGCATTCAACCTCCTAATTAACTCCTTTTTAATATCAAATGATTTTGACTTAACGTAAACGAAACCAAAAAATTATTCAAACAGTAACACCTGTGCCAATATCAATGATCGATGAAAGATGCATAATTCAATGTCTGGCGATCATTTGGCAG